TGGCCTTATCGATTTTATCAGTACAATCAAGTTTATCGATTCTAGCTTATCTCGCAATTCATCAAAACGAAACCAACAAAAGATATAAACAAACTGGCAAAACCACTAATAACTTCCTTAAACCACCCATTGTTAATCAATAAAATCTGCCACAACTTTTCATAAGACTCATAAGAAATGATAGTTAACATAAATAATTATAAAAATTCAATATACACAGAATGGTAATGATATTTACTATCATCTCGTTCATACAGTGGAATCCCAATTTTTCGAACCTCCTAGGGAAACAAGAATTGGTTTGAAAAATCAGCAAATTCAAGAAATCACTGGGGTAAAATTAATGTCTGATTGAGTGGAGGAAAATGATATTTGGTCCTAAGAATTCATGAGCTTCAAAAAATCAAGTATTTGAAAAGTTGCAATTTCACTTTCCTCTCGTAAATGTACTTTCCCCCTTAAATGAGTGTCAACTCCTGGACTTGAATCTGTAGAACTAGCTGTGACTCCGAAATTTACTGATCGATCTTTATTTCATTTTAGTGTACGTCCACAAAATCCACCTTTAAAAAGTCCCAATCAAACAGGTCAATGGATACAGCTTCAATTTTAAAGCTTTTTAAACTAGCAAACAAATTAAGTCAATCAAATAAATGCGATGAAATCAATAAAATCTAACTTTGCAGGGCTGTGCTCTAAAGACGCCTGGGGGCTACTAGTCTCCTTCGCAGCCATTATTAGGGTCGTCACGCACTAGTGGGGAGGAGCGTTGCGTGACGACCCTAATAACGGCTGCGAAGGAGACTAGGGGGCTACAGGCACCTAACTTTTGCCTTTGGGCGACTAGAAAATCTTAGTACTTTTTTCATATAAGTTTTAGTGCTGGGCACCCAGGATTTTATGGTTAGGAACCTTTGGGCTCCTCATAATTTGTCTTAGACCACAGCCTTGCTTTGAAACTTCGCCAGCGTGTGAGTATCGAGTTTTATCGATTGACCAACAACATCTATAACACTTAAATTCAGTTTATCAATTGATAACGATTTATCGAGTAGTTTTTTGATATCAAGTTTTATTGATTGACTACCCTGGGTTTATGTTCATGTGTTGGAATTTGGGGATCGAGAAATGCATTCTGCTTGAAGGTCTTGAGGTTGTTTTGCAAGTTTGGTGCATATTGGATTTGGGAAATTTGAAAGTTGGATCTGGATTTAAATTGTACATTTCTTGCATGGCCAAATGTGTACAATGGGACTCAGCTAATACAGTTCAGACAGCAAAGGGGCATGACAACATGCTTAAGTGTCCAGGTATTTTATTGGGACCAAGGTTATCTGAGAAAATATGAGTGTTTCATTGGGACAGGCAGTACTGTTCATGATGAGCGAGTGTCCGTTTTAAGCCCATCAAGATCCCATAAAAAAAGAGATTGATCGCTCACTTGGGAACAAGGGAGAAAATGCAAAGTTTTTAAGGGATCAAGGAAAAATGCTTGACTTGTATTTTCTCCTACCCCTGAGAGGCTCTCTTGTCATGATCAGTTACTGTTGGTACATGATATGGCCCATTTACCTGACTGTAAAACTCTGTGGACCCTTATACATACCTCCAAACACAAATTTCAAGGAATTCAACAGAGTTCCATGAAATTCTAAGAGTAAGGGGTAATATTTTATATGAGACCTACAATTAGCTTGGCTGAGGAAAGTGAATCAACATGTATATGTCTACATGGATGAATCCTGTACTTATCAGATGATTGTGCAGATATGCATTACACTTGAATTTATTTTTCCTAGTTATTTACAATAGTTACCTGAAATACATGTAAACTATGTTGTTTGAGAATTTTATTTACTTATTGTCTATATTTAATGTGTAGTATTTTTTAAGGATTAATTAACTCACAATATAATATTTATATATGTTTACATTATACTTTAAGGCTTTTCTTCAGTGAAAGATGAACACAGATTGAACATAACACTGGCTACAAATGCTGAGGGTTGGAACACAACAGTGAATGGCCAACTAGTTATTGAACTTGCCAAGGATCCAAGAGTGAAGGTCAGTGGACTGGTGCCAAACAGCTCTCAAGAGCAGAAAGAACAAGCCAAACAGTTAAATATTAAGCTTGTTGATGCTAAAAAGCGAATTGGTTTTTCGCCAGAGGAGCGGTTGTCTTTTCCACCTGACAGTCTTGATATTGATATTTTGATTATCCACTCTTATGGACGTGACCTCGGTAAGCAGGCACAGGTTGTTAAGGAGTCCAAGAAGTGCAAGTGGCTTCATGTTCTACACACAGTCAGTGAAGAACTGGAGAAGTACATGGACAAAGAAAGAGCTGGCCCATCATCAAGTGTAACAGACTCTGAACATCAGCTGCAACTAGAATTATGTAAAGAAGCGGACATTCTGATTGCAGTTGGTCCTAAAGTAGCTGATGCTTTCAAATGGGCACTGTGCCATTGTGGAAAGCATATGGATATCATTACTTTAACCCCTAGTGTTATCCAGGAATTAATTGATGTTCGCCCACATCATGAATCTGGAGAAGTATTCCGCATATTGATCAGTGGGACATATCCAGCCAAGTATTTCAAAGTGAAAGGATGTGACATTGCTGCTAAAGCAGTCTCATTGTTGCAAGACACTTCATACTCGCTCATGTTTATCGTCACACCCAGGGATGATGCACAAGACCTCCAAAACCGTCTCGTCAAGGAAGGTATCAAGTTAAACCAGTTCACTGTCCGACGTTTCCACAGTAGCACGGAAAACTGGAGAAAGCTACTGTGCGAAGTGAACCTTGTCATCATGCCCTCAAGAACTGAGGGCTTTGGAACAAGTAGTCTCCGTGCTATTTCAGCTGACCTGCCTGTTCTTGTCAGTGGGAATTCTGGGCTTGGCATGACACTGAAGAAGTTGCCCGCTGGAAAAAACCATGTTGTGGAGTCAGATGATCCCCAGGAGTGGGCTGACAGGATAGCACAGGTTAGAGCAATGGATGCCAGGAATCAGTCTGCAGAGGCAAAGCAGCTACGCTCAGAATACATGGAGCGATTCAGCTGGAAGGACCAATGTAGCAATCTTGTGGACAAAATGATGATGATGTTCCCAAACAAACAAGGTAAGTATTCTCGAGAGTGACAAATTGCTATAAGGTAATGGAAATTGTTGGTAACAACATGGATGGTGTTGAGCCCATGAACTAAATGAAAGAAAAGCCAAGCTGGTTAGGGTGAAGTTCTATAGAAGGTGACAAAAAGTGTTCTTGTTAAGTCTCCAAACAGTTGGCAGTTACTTGAAAGTTTGTTGGGGATCATCAGATGGTACTCAACACTCTTCCAGTTATCAGCTGGAGACCATTTCTAAGAGGTTAAAGTTAACTGAAATTTGCCAAAATTATCTGATAGCTAAGAAATTAAATGGCCCACATTATATTAACGGATGACTGAAAATCAACCCAGATACAGACCTTCTGTGAGAACAGACCCAAATGTGGTTGGGGGTGGGGGAGGCATAATACATGTTCTTAGGTACAATGCTGCTGTTCCTTGCACTCTGCACTGCTCTTTGAGTCTTTTATTATGTCAAGTGTCAACGTAATATTCAAGTTGGCACTAGATATATATTAAGTGAATATTTTATTATAGTCCAATAGAGTTATTATTGGGAGACGCAGTGGCCTTATGGTTACTGCGCACATCTCCAGATCGAACGGTCTGAGTTTGAGCCCTGGCCGGGGACATTATGTTGTGTATTTGGGCAAGATACTTTACTCTCACAGTGCCTCTCTCCACCCAGGTATATAAATGGATACCAACAAACTTAATGCTGGGGGTAACCCTGCACTGGACTAGCATCCCAACCAGGGGGGAGTCAATAAGCTCTGACCTGATAGTCCACTTGGCTCTTATATACAGCCTTTACTACTATGTTACAGTTATTACATAATAATTTCTATTTTTATCATTTTAAACTATTTTTAATTATATTAAATGATTGAGTACATTGTGTATCAACTGAAAAGAAAACTTGGAAAAACTCGGAGATTTCATTAACATATTCAGCAGGAGGGTGACTGGCTTTCACAGGCAGGCAAAATGTTTGAAGTGAACCTCTTCCAAAGAAAAACTTTCCTCTAGATGGCAAACCAGGAGGGAAAAATCATCCTCACAGACAGTCAGTTTGCCCAGTGCCCACCCTTTAATGAAACCCCTGAACTTTGAAACTGATCACAAGTCCTATTTTTTTCTGAGTTTTCAGTTGATTCTATTTCTGTCATGCAATTATTTCTTATATTATTATTATTTAATATTTATATGATTTTACAGACTTCTTGTAATAATGCTCACTGTTGGAACTTTTCATTTTCATCTGTTTTATAGAGGGCATTAAGAAATGCGTTGAGCACACTGAGGAAAGTGAACAAGGGAAGAACCTAGAGCCAAAAATCACAAGCTTTGAAACTGAGAGAGTGGTATATGAGGAAAATTTCAACT